ATAGTACCGAGCCACGAGGAGTGGTAGAATCTCCCCCACAGCGAAGGGGCGGACAACCCTGCACCTAAACACTCCGGGCTGATGTTTAAAGAACATAGAAATCCTCCACAAAATAAGATTACTGGAAGTGATTTCATTCTCATTTTTTGGATGAGACAAATAATCAGATGAAAATCTACTTGAAAGTGATTTGGGAAAAAGAAAATGTTATGGGACTGGGTTCGTTAAATTAAAATCAAATTACCTGTCATCTCCTCCAACCAATAGCTATCGGTTATTTGTGATTTATTTCTCCTCAATGAAATGACCATTAGCTTAGTCACCAAAGACTAGAATCCATGTACTTCAACTCCTTTTCCCCATCCCCTGTTACCACCTGTGCACATTCAGTAAAGAGACTTGTAACTACTTGTCCCCACGTCTGTCCTTGCTCTATCCACTTTCATCCTCCACCTCCCCACCATACTGTCAGGCAGTCTTTCCCGTTTGCCCACTCCTGTGGTTTCCCAGTGCCTGCTCTCACAAGGTGCAAATTCTATCCGTGTTGTACGTAGAGTGACTGTTTCTATATCGATCATTTTTCTTTTAGAATTTAGGTTTTTTTTTTTCCTAAAAGTTACTTGCTCCTTTCCCATTTATCATGGATGTAGTTTGTCTGCTTCTCAGAGTCTCCCAATAAGTTTTACGATAGCTCTGTAGGAGCCTGAAACCAAAAATGATCTGAGGTCCGCTGAAGGTCATGAAGCGAGGACACGGTCTATTTGTGAATGAATCCTCTTCCTGAGCATTTAAAATTAATACAAGCCCTGCCTTCAAAATACCACAGTCAAGTGAGGCAACGGGCCCTGTGCATGTGTGCACATATGTGCATACAGGTGTGCATGTTTGTACGTACATGTGTGTGCATGGCCTGTGTGTGCCTGGTGTGCATAAGGAAGGAATCCTGTAGAAGAGCCATCCTAATCCTGTGGAACAAAGGAGATTTTTTTTCCTTTTAAATACAGTTTCCATTTTAATGCCGCCATGACTTCATCTTTTCTTGTTTATTTTTATGCATTATTTAGTAAATTAAGAAACTTCTATTGTTTGATAGGAAGGAACCTTAGATGGGTGAGCCTAAAATAGTAGCAAGTAGCAAAGGCTTTGAAGCTAAACAAACCTTGGTTTGAACCTCAGATTTGTGCTTCCAAGCTCAGGCCCTCAGCCTCAATTTTCTTGTCTGTAAAATGGAGACAGTCATGGAGGCCTTAGAAGTTTGCTGAGGGTATATAATGAGATAAAGTTGTTTGTTCTTATGTTAAATGTTTCCTCTGTATGAATGGTATTTAGATATTCATGGAATGAAAAAGATATTTAAAGTGGGTTCATTCGTCTCTTGTGTTTGGGTCCAGCCCATGCTAGAAATCCCCCCGGAGCTGAGATTGTATGTGGACACCTGCCGTAGCTGAGATTGTATGTGGACACCTGCATTGTTGTTACCACTCTTCCGAGATGTTCCACTATGAGTATTTGCTACAAGGAAACAGAAGTAGCAAAGGAAAAGTTTTCTTAAATGAACCGCCTGGAAAATCATACTTACAGTGTGGGTCTACCTTGATGTGGAGAATTAGTTTGGCTTAGAAGCAATCTTCCAGAAGCTTCCTTGACCCCTTGAGATCAGGTTAGGGTCCCTTCTGCCTATTTTCCTGCAGTCTATACAGCAAGACAGTAAGTTTCTCAAGGACAAAGAATATGTCTTATTCATTACTATCGTTGCAGGGCCTCATGCATTATAGGTGCTCAGGAACTGTGTCTTAGTGTTTCAGACTGTATAAGATAACACTGTTCTAAGTGACTTGGAAGGAGGTCGAAGTGTCCATTCGCAAAAGACAGGACATATGGGTGATATAAAGAAGGTATGACCTTGGAAATCAAAAGTTACATCCTAAGTGATATAAGAGGAATTGGGAAACGGTCTGAATTTCAAAGTGAAAATTAATAACGAACGTGAAGCCTTTTCATAAGGCAAGTAACTCTTTAGAGACAAACTAAGGCCACTCTAGCATGCTAAATCCACCGTCTTGTGTCTGCGTGGTGACTTACACTGTCACAAGATCTTATTTGGTCCTCAGAACAGCCTGGTGGGATGGAAGAGAGTAGCAATGCTATTCTGCAGATCAGAAAACTGTGGTCTGGTGCAGTTAGCCACTGCCTGCAGGGGTCCCAGCTGGGGCGGTTGTCAGCATCACACGTGATACTGCACACTTTAACTGTACGTATACATTTCCAAGTTGTTAGATCTTTTGTTATAATAACTGACATTTATGTCGGGTTTTGCTTTGTGTTTTTCTTTACAGCAATGCCTTGAGTTGGTGGGTGGGTGATCAGATTAAATACTGTTGATTTAGAATGCTGGTATCTCAGGGTCAGAGAGAAACTCTAAAAGGGACAGCGTTTTGCCCAGCAGTTCCCTGGAGGCCTGTCTCCTCAGCACGTCACTGTCTTCTCCTGGTGGCCGCTGGGACCCATGTGTCCGTAATCGGGCGCTTGCTACCTCTCGAGGCAGTCCGTTAAGTGTTCAGTAGATCAGGATGCTGAAGAGAGTAAGCCGAATCCGATCGCGATCAGGAAGAACCACGTAACTGTTCAGAAATCGGCTCCAGGGGTGTGGCGATGCTGAGCAGGGGTGTGGAAACGAGGAGAAACCCCAGCTCTGAGTTGGGATCAGAAGGTGCAGAGAGTCGGCCGAAGGGAGAGAAGTCCTTGTGGACAGGATGGCAGCTGGGAACACTCGTTTGGGTCGTGGGGCTCGCGGGTCATCCCCTCTCGTCTCGGCCCACCCGCACGGCTCCGGGCGCGCTCACGCTGTTGTGCTTCGTACTCCTGCTCCCCACGGGCTGCTGGCCTCTGTGAGACAGAACAAGTTGCACGTTTCCAGTAATCGATACGCTTTTGACCTCAGACCTGTAAGGTCAAGTTATGGCTCTTCAACTTTGAATATTTTTCGGAAAACCGCTTGGCTGGATTGTCATGCCCCTCGAGGGCTTGCGAAGCAGAGTAAGCATGCTGACGTGGCCAGACTAGACCGACTAGACCGACTCCTGCCTCAGGAGGGCGATGCACACATGCATGCTTTGTGTGGCCTTTGCTCCTTCCCCCCGCAGTGGACTGCAGCCCCGTGGGCTCTGCGGTGGACGCTGTCCACTTCTCCGAGCGCAGTGCGGCCACTTGGAGGACAGCACGATTGGCTTTGAAAGAGCCTGACCTAGTATGAGAGAGAGAAGCTGAGTGTAGTGAGGCCCAACTTCCCCTGTTAACTCTGGTGCCACCTGGACGTGTGACGTTGAGCTAGTCAGTGTGGGGACCCTCCCTGGTGTAGGCCACCAAGGTTTTGCTGGGATGTCATTTCTTTACTTCTGAGATAATCGTTCCCCAAGTCTATATTCCCTCTGTACACCCAAGCATGCAGTTGATAGAGTGAGCTCCTTGTCACTCTCTAAAACCTAGCTGGGATGTCCCTTTCTCGTATCTGTGCGTTCTCTTATCTGAGAGAGCCTACCGTGTGCTGGATGCTGGGGACGGGGGTAGCCCTGAACCAAACGAGGACCCTGGCCTCACAGCCTGGCCTCGGTGCTCCCCTAACCCTGTGTTCGTCGTGGGATCACGTTCTCCTGCAGACTGTAGTCCAGTGATGTGCTCGGTTGGATCAGAGAGCAAGTGCTCGCCTCTCTGGTCCGTCCATTTCTGTGTGAACGACCCACGTGGTCCAGCCCCTGTGAGGCCTGTAACAGGAGCGTCAGGAGGGCAGGACTGTGCAGTAACCGCCCGGGCTCGTCAGCCTTCCATGAAATGGGGCGACCTAATGCGAAATCGACCGCTTCCAAAGTCCGATGCTCCCTGTGCTGACTGCCGGGGCTTTTGGGCCCCCGTCATCCAGCATGTGATGAGGAGCGAGGACGTGCCTGGTCAGCAGAATGGCGGTGGGCCCCAGTCAGAATGTGCAGCGACAGGAAGCACATGTGTCTGCCTTTCACCTGCACCCAGGCCAGCAGGCGTTTCCTGGCCATTGTTCGCGGGGGCTGCCCCCACGCGCTTTCCGCCCACCGGTGGCGCTGGCGCGGGGCCCGCTCTGGCAGCTCTTCCAGGCTGGGCCTCTGCATGCTCCCCGCCCGGCCCCGCAGCCCATCCCCAGAACCACCGGAAGACACAGGAAAGAAGATTCCCTTATGTAAAAATAAACATGGCAGCCCCACCTGTTTTTACACTGGTCTCCCAAGTTCCTTGTTCCTTTTGTTCTCAGCAGCGCTGGGGCCTTCGGACGGTGGCCCCAGGGGAGGCGGCGCAGTGGAATTCATGTACCCTGCGGGGAGCTGGGATGTGGCCACCCCAGGCTCAGAGAGGCGGGAAAGCTGCCCCAAGACTTCTTGGGGGAGAAAATGTGATTCTTGCAGATTTCCTGGATGAAGGGAGACATGTGGGGTCCCCGCTGTGGTGCCATCCAGAGGCTTCCCCAGCTGCCCTTCCTGGCTCGGGGCCCGCCCTGGGAAGCCAGAGGTAGGGCTCGGGATGGCAGCGCCAAGTGTCAGGAGGTAAAGCCAGCACTGGTCTCCGCTCTTTTTAGAAACTCCCGGACGAAACTGCAGCTTCCGAACCCGTGTTTATTTTGTCTTGGCTGCTTATGCCCGGTGTTTTCAGAGAACGCGGGTGAGGGAGTGGTGGACACTGTTAATCATCTCGTTGCTTAAACACTGGTCCAGACTCTGCTCCAGCAGGCCCTGGCGGCAGGTGGGGCCTCCAGGTCTCCGGCTCCGTGGGATGGAGACCGACGTGTGGTGGAGCCTCTGCGCCTCCCGGCCGGGGCGGCCACTGTGCCGTGTGCATAACCGGGCTCTGGTTTTGGTGGGAGTAAAGGGAACGGGAGGTGTCAGGCGCGTTCCGGGGACCCTCGGTGACTCCTCACAAACCCTTTCTCTGTTGTCCCTCCAGTGCGGGTCCTGCCAGCGCGACGGTCCCAGGGGCTGGGCTTTGATGAAGCGGGTGCATTATGTACAGCGTAGAAGACCTCCTGATTTCTCACGGGTACAAGGTGTCACGGAGCGTCCCTGCACCCTCCAGGGATGAGCGTGAGGGCCGCCGGCCAGCCAGGAGCCGCGCCAGAGCTGGCCAGGACCTGCCCAACGGGTGCGACGACGGCCGGGCCGCCCTCCCACGGAGCAAGCCGTCCCAGGGGAAGGGCCACGCAAGCACCTCAGAGAACAGCCACCGCACTCCCAGAGCCCATGGAGAGCCCCAGAGCGCTTCGGCTTCCAGAGCTCCTGAGCTGGGGTAAGAGTCAGCGCGAACCCACCATGTCCTTTTGTCTCGGGGATCTAGCAGTGGATGCAGAAGTCAGGTCCTGAATGCCGTGTGTTTGGCAGGAGCCAGGGAGGGAGAGGGTGAGAGACAAAAACACCTCCTTCTACTGGAGTATGTGGGGTGTTCCAGCAGCATGGAGCGCAGGGCCTGGCCACAGGCCTTCGGTAAATAGTGGTGAGTAAATGAATTCTATCACATGAGACACACGGCATTCTAATCCCCCCTCCATTTGCCCTTAGAAGCCCCTCGGATTGCCTAAGCTACGAATCATGTCAAAACTCCGTAAAAGCTAGTTCCTGTCGGGCGCACATTCCCAATCCATTAGGCTTCCTTATAAATAGGTTTCAATCCTGCGTACGTCGCAGAGTTGAAAGAGTTGTGTCTTCCCCTCTGTGCGTGAAGAAGAAAACCTTTCTTCTTGTATATTCATATAATTCCACTGGCTTCTGACCCATCTTTCCCTCGCGGACACTGGCCCCTCTGTGGGTGTCCCGTCTGAACACAGCTGTATCTGTGGGTGTTTCTTACGACCAAAAGAAGGCGGGTTGGCTGGGAAAGCGGGGCTAAAAGAGAGGGACTCCGGGCAGCTGGCCACAGAGCCAGCATGGGAGAGGAGCCCTGCGACCCCCACGCACACAGTTTCAACCGAGAGGAAACCCGTGTCATCACTTCATAAAAGTGTGTTTGTCTTCAGTGCTGTGTTGGGACCAGGCTCAGCCTGGGGGAGGAGGGCTCTGTGGGGGGCGGAGCGTGTCATGTAATTGTGCATAACCGATGACACAAATGGAAGCAGAGGCTGGTCTTCAAGGGAAACAAATAAACAAAACACCAAGCAAACAAAAAGTGGAGTGAATTCAGTCTCAAGACAATGAACCTACCTTCCATGGTTCAAAGTCACCTTTTCACAGAAGGGATCGTGAAAACGGGAGGGATTTTATTCTTAAAATATAGAGCATTCCAGGAGTGTCTGGGTGGCTCAGTGGGTTGAGCCTTCGGCTTAGGTCATGATCTCAGGGTCCTGGGATCGAGCCCCGCATCGGGCTCTCTGCTCAGCAAGGACCCTGCTTCCCCATCTCTCTCTCTGCCTGCCTCTCTGCCTACTTGTGATCTCTCTCTCTCTCTCTCTCTGTCAAATAAATAAATAAAATCTTAAAAAAAAAATGTGGAGCATTCGGCACCTTGGTTCTCAAGTGAAAGCAGAGACGATCAGTTGCCCTCCTAGTGCCCAGGCTGGTCTGAGCGGCTGATGCTGCCACGTGAGCGCCGTGTCTCCGACCGCTGATGTGGCCAGTTCAGGAGGAAACTGGGATGGAAAGGGACCTGAAGATGTTCTTTTTAACCTTGCCCTTCAGACTCACACTTGTGTCCACTACTGTCTTGGGCTTCAGTCTCCTTTCAACCCCGTGCCCGGAGAAACCTGCCCGCCCTGGATTTGGGGAGAGGCTGCTTACAGATGAGTTGGCGGAGACAGGCAGCCTTAGTTACCACTATGCAGACTTGTGCCAGATTCTGTCCTGCCTTCTGTCTTCTAGCTTTGTGCTGAATGTGTCTGTACCTTCTACCTGGGATTTCAGGGCACTGAGGCTCTCCACTTTGTCAGCCCCTTCCTGTGTATCTGCCAGAGAACTTGTTGCAGCCCTGCACACATAGTGTGTGTAATGTGTGCTCAGGGATTCAGTTCTTTCTGCCACCATTGTAACAACTGTAACAATTCGAGGCGGTGGAATCCCTGCAGAGGGGCTTGGTTGGCTGTGTGGGTCTCCCTCCGACTCGGAGATCAGAGTACGGGTCAGTAAAATCCCCTCTAGAATTCTGGGTGGGCTGTGTGTTTCGCAGCCTTGTCCACAACCTCCTCAGGACTTTCTCGTCCCTCTGTGCTGACAGGCTGTTGAGGACCACCAGTGCTCACAGCCCAGCCTCCAGGCCGGTAGGCATAATGGGACCCATAGGCAGCCTTTCCTTCTGTCCTGAATAAAGTGCTCAGACGGGTAGCTTTTGGTAGCACTGGATGTCTTGACATCCAGTTCTCGACAGATCTGGCCATTTCCGCCCATTTCTGAGGTTGGCTGATTAACTTATGAGATGCAGGGTAGCTTTCAGATGGAAGCTTGCCTTATCCGGTAAAAAGAGAATATGCTTACACGTTTGCAAAACTCCATGCCAGTGCGCAGAGCTCGGAGACCAGCTGCAAGGCTTCCTGGGTTGAATTGAAAAGGTGTTTTCTTTCTTTAGTAGCTTATACAGAGCTGGAAACAGGAGGCAAACAGAAAAGTGAACAGAAAGGTAGGCAGGAGACTTCCTTTTCAGGAAACAACAACAAAAAAAATAATGCCTCGAGAGGAAATAAATAGGTGCTAGCAGTTAAAGCCTGGAAGTTGAAGAAAAAGAAAACCCAACAATACTTTGGCTTATGTGAATTCTGAATCTGGATGAATGAGTGGTACTCTGCCAAGGCCCAGCCTTCGGTCTGGACCAGTGCAGCTGAGGTCTTGCTGCGTGCCTGTCCCACACAGTGATGCTGCGGGGCTGGTCTCCGGGCCTGGAGGGGCCAGTGGGGCCCCCAACCCCAAGCCAGCAGACAAGAAAGCCTCAGGAGGGCCTCCTCTTCTGGCGGTGCCTCTCTCGGGTGAGGTGAGGTTTGCCCTAGAGTGTATCCCCACACCACAGGCCAGTCCTCCGTACCCTAGGGCCTCCCTGGAGAAGAGGGTAGTCAGAGTGGTTGGAAAGGCCACAGGGGCGGAAGAAGGTGCATTTGTTTTATTCTGGTGGGATGGCAAGTTAGCAGTGTCCTTAGTTTATAGCCAAAGGACACGAAGGCCAGCACATGTTGGTGACTCCGTAAGGGCTACTCGGTGCCACAGCGGTTGATGCCTGGCTCAGTCCCCAGGCTCTGGGCTGCCAGGCAGGCTGGAGGCGGCCGCATGGTTAGCAGCGTCGGGCCGGGACAGGCGCTGCCCACGTGAGGCCTGCCCCCATCCAGGAGGGGCGCAGGATTCTGTGAGCCCCTGTCAAAGCTGCCCCAGGGGTGGGCTGTCCTCGCTCGCTTCCTCATCCTCTGCCCTCCCCCCCCCCCCCCCCCCGGCATGTGAGGATGTGCAGTGGCTCTCGGAGCACAGCCGCGTCCCTTTCCTGTCCGGGCAGCTGCCCAAGGAGCGCATGCGGTGGCACCTGGAGGAGATGTGCATGCGCAGGCTGCCGCCCTGTGTGCCTGGTAAGGACGCTATCGTCCGGCGTCGGGGGCGTGCTGGGAAGATCAAGATTGGTGGTCGGCGTGCTGGCACTTCGGTCTTTCTTCAGGAATTAACCTTGTCTTCCAGCAGAGTTCCTTAGGTAAGGGCTGCTTAGATCCAGTTCAATTAAGAAAAAAACAAAACAAACACAGCCCTCACATCTGGAGTCTTGACTCGATTTTCCAACATGCCGTGTGCGTGTTTCCCAGCGCGCTGAAGGGGCTGCTCTCCCGGCTGGCACTGTTCCCAGATCAGGTGACACCGCGCTCCCGGGATGAGAGGAGACTGGCAACTGTGTTGTGTGGGGAGGGAAGGGACCCGCTGGTTCGCCCAGAAACTCTTGTGCTGGGGGTGGAGACAGGACCGAGTCGCTTCTTGTACACAGGTATCCGGATCAGTGAGAAGACAGCAACCGCTTTCCAAAGCTCCATTGGGTGTGTTCTGCGCGTGTCAGGGCTGGTGCGAGCTTTGAAGTCCCTTCGTTGGTCCCTTTTGTCTGCGACATCATCCCCCAGCTCTGGAGCGGCCCACAGGCCTCCTCCTCCAAGCCCCAGACCCTTGTCCTCTTCTGGGCACACTGCCGTGTGCTCCCAGGGCACCAAGCCCTGCCTGGGTGCACCCGGAGCTCCCCTCTCTAGCTCCCACCGGCAGCCCCTCCTGTCAGTTTGAGGACTTCTGCAGCTCCCCCTGGGGTGTTCTGCCAGTGCTGTCTTCTGGTCCCCAGCACTGTCCGCTTCCCAAAAGCTGACACTATCGCGAATTCATCTCTGGTTTTGCTGACTGCTATTAAGGAATTTTGTATTTATTAACACTCAAGAAAAATTTTTAAATAAATCCGATGAAACCTAGTACTTCCGTGCCAAGGTGGTTGTGGAAATGCTGAGTGTTTCGGAACATTGGGATAAGACGGGATGGGAAGTGGAGAAGGTTTTTCCTAGTGAGAGGATCTGGGCGGGGCTGGCTTGGGAAGGTTTCGTTGTGGAAAGAAGGGGCACTGACTTTCCAGGCTGAGCAGCTGAGATGGCAGTTTCTATGGCTTTGTCCACACAACTACCTCCTGGGGGACAAAAGGGAGGAAGGGAAAGGAAGGAACAGACACGGACGTAGCACAACTCCCAAGAGGCTGAATAGCCTTGGCAGGGAAAGTTTCCTTCCTTTGTAGATTCTGCGGGTGTAAGACCCCAACCCACTCCAGTGGTGAGGGACGAACTGCTGTAAGGCTATCATGGGGGAGTCTCGGGAGCACCCGCGGGGAGGAACAATGACAAGCGGGGCCTCACTGATGTGGGCATGAGAAACCTGGGACCCAAGGTTGGTAGTCAGTCGACCTCCCTCGGGGTTTTGAGTTGTTCCCCTGGGGGACTCTTTGCTCTCTGTCGCCCGTTGTCGCCGGGCTTGCATCTCCCCGTGTTTCTGCTCCCAACTCTGCAGAGGAGCCGATTCCTGTCACCGGCAGCCCCTACTCGCCAGGAACTTTGACTCATGGTGACTTACTTCTGCTGTTGCTTCTACACGGTGCTTTAGCTCCAGACGCCGCTCATGCCTCCTGCCCGAGCCTCTTCAATTTTTGAGAGAAGGACTCAGTGGTCAGGCTTGGGCTTTGCTTAGCACGTCTCAGCCCTATCCCATCAGGGGAATGGGGAGCAGGGGCTGGGTAGGGAAGGGAAGGTGGACAGGGAGGAGGGGTGACCGGATGTGGCTATGTGATCTTTACCCACCCTCTATAAAGGGGCTGTGGAT